ATTGTTTATATTTTGGTTAACCTTTGCTTTTAGTTATAAATGTAATCACCAACCCTGCAATGAAACACGGTGGTAGCAGCATCATGATGTGGGACTGGGAGAGTAGTCAGGGGTTAGTGTAAGCTGCAGAGCTACCCTAAAATAACTCCTGTTCCACAGAGCTCAGGACCTCAGGTGCAGCTGGAGACTTCCAGCATGGCAGAGACCCACAACACACAGCAAAGACAACAAGAGTGGCTCAAACACGACTCTGTGAATGTCCTACTGTGGACCAGTCAAAGAATCAGCCGTACCTGGAAATGCCTCCTCCAACAGTTCTCATCCAACCTGACAGAGTGTGAGAAGACGTACAAAACAGAAACACAAAATGTCATCATCAAATTTTAAAAGGTTGAATCTGCTGCTGATGGTGCTTCAGCTCAGCAGTGAGATGGATTATCATGTAAATATGATATTTAAGTTTTTCTTTATTTTTTAATTTACACAACTATTAAGAATCCAGTTTTCACCTTGTCATCAGTGTGGATTACAGAGAGAGAAATATAACGTTTCACTAAATACTTTCAGTACCTACTGTATACACTCCTCCCCGGAGGAGCTGGCCCAAGTGGCTGGGGAGAGGGAAGTCTGGGCCTCCCTACTTGGGCTGCTACCCCCACGACCTGACCCTGGATAAGCGGAAGAAAATGGATGGATGGATGGAACTGACAAAGAAGAAATAATGAATATAATAAAAAAAATCTTACAGACAAGAGATCAAAAGACTGGGTGGACATGGATATGATGTTTTAAAGGACATAATGAGTTATGTTATTGAGCCGTTTACATATATTTGTGACTTATCGTTTTCAACAAGAATATTACCAGACAATATGAAAGTAGCTAAAGTAGTTCTTCTTTTTAAGAATGGTGATAAATGTGTGTTCAATAATTATAGACCAGTATCCTTATTACCACAGTTCTCAAAAATTTTAGAACAACTATTTGTGATCAGATTGGATCAATTTATTGTTAAACAAAACATTCTAAGTAGCAATCAGTATGGGTTTAAAGCAAAAAACTCTACATCAATGGCTCTCATGGAATTGATAGAACAAATAACAACTGCTGTCAATCAAAAATAATATTGTGTTAGTATTTTTGTTGATTTTAAAAAAGCATTCGATACTATTGACCATAGTATTCTCCGTGAAAAATTAAATAAATATGGCATTAGAGGACCAGCATTACACTGGGTGTCTAGCCATTTGAAAGATAGGAAACAGTTTGTACAAATAAATGATGTAAGATCTGACCTCTATAATATCACGTGTGGAGTTCCACAAGGTTCTGTACTTGGACCAAAGTTATTTATTTTATATGTGAATTTTATATGTGGTGGAAGTGGTCTCCAGCTACAAGTACTTGGGTGTACACATGAATGACAACCTCAGCTGGAGCAACAACACCACCAGCCTGATCAAGAAAGCTCATCAGAGACTCTACTTCCTCAGACGGCTGAGGCGAGCTGGTCTGGGAAGCTCAGTCCTCACCTCCTTCTACAGGTGTGCAGTGGAGAGCATCCTGTGCTCGAGCATCAATGTGTGGCATGGAGGCTGCACAGCTGCAGAAAGAAAAGCTTTGCAGAGATTGGTGAAGGCTGCACAGAAATCTGTCGGAATCAGCCTCCCCACCATCACAGACATCTACACCTCCAGATGGCCCTCTTCCTGCATCATGAAGGACCCCACTCACCCAGCACACACACTTTTTGCCCCACTCCCCTCAGGAAGGAGGTTAAGGAGCATTAAGTGTAGAACCACTAGACTGAGGAACAGCTTCTACCCTGAGGCTGTTAGACTCATGAATCTCTAACTAGAATAATCACTGTGAAAAACCATATCATGTTGCTGCTGATCTGTTTCATGTTGCTGCTGATCTGTTTCAATGTTGATGTGTTCATGCGTGCACATCTGTTCACAGACTCATGTTCATGTTTGTGCTGATGTTCAATGTTTTATGTTATGAGTGCTTAGTGTATATTTAGTTGATGTTTTTCTTAGTTCATATCTTAGATGTTATTACTCTTTTTCTTATACATTTTATTGTTGGATGTAACTGGGACCCTGTGTACATAATTTCGCTCCACCACATGAACCACATGAGGTGCGAATGACAATAAAGAAACTCTGACTCTGACTCTGATTCTGAATGACGGTAAATGTGTCAGGACTCCTTAAATGTGTCCTATTTGCAGATGACACCACATTTTTTTGTTTGGGTAAAGATGTAAAATGGATGTTGGAGTTGATGCAGACAGAATTTGTAAAAATACAAACGGTCTAAACTTAATAAATTATCATTAAACTTAGATAAAACTAACTGTATGATATTCAGCAATGAAAAGAGAACTGTTGTTGTTCCATTTAGAGTCGAGGGTGGTGAGATTTGTAGTTAGTGAGGTGAAGTTCTTGGGTGTTATCATCGATGAACAGCTAACATGGAAAAATCACATAAATTATGTAAAAACAAAAATAGCTAAATATATTGCAGTACTGTACAAAGTAAGGGACTTATTAAATGATAAAGCTCTGTACATGTTGTATAACACAATAATTGTTCCACATTTAATCTATTGCATTGATGTTTGGGGGAAAGCGTGCAAAACTATTATAAAGCCTATTTTTGTTTTACAGAAAAGAACTGTAAGAGTTATTTCTAGAAAGCATTTCAGTCACCCATCAAGTACTTTATTTTATCAAGTGAAGTTATTGATGTTCCTTAATTTGGTAGATTATAGTATTTTATCAATTATGTATAGGGCTCATAATAATACATTACCTTTAAATATCCAAATAAATTTTGTTAAAAGACAAAGTTGCTACAATCTTAAGGAGATAGAGATATTTGTCAAACCGAAATTCAGAACTAGTCTGAAGGGAAGGTCTACCTCAATCCAAGGAGTTGGATTGTGGAATGGTCTAGAGAGTGATGTTAAAAATGCCAAATCCATGTGAACGTTTCAGAAAATGATCAAAGTTGAATTGTTAAAAAAATATATGAAGTAGCTTAATGTGTATTGTATGAATTGTTGCTCAAGAAGGAGTTATTTATTTTGTTTTGTTACTTGAAGATCATTATTTGAATTAATTGTTTGGGAAAAAGAGTCAGATATAATAAGATTTTTTTTTCCTCCTGCTGCCTTTCATTTTATTTTTCATTTTATTTCTTATTGTTTATGGAATTGTTTTGTTTTGTTTTAAAAATGAATACATTTATACAGTGAATATGCTGCTTTACTGTACACTTTGTATATTAAACCAGTTCAAATTCAAATATGTTGATATGACAAAACTCTTCAAATTTTTAGACTCACCTTTGGACATATCATGATCATACATTCTTTATTTGATTTATGTGATATCTATTTAAAGATTTGCTACAACTGCAAAAATATTGCACTTTCTACATTTTATATGAAACATCAATCATTTCCGTACATCCATCATATTTTAACCGCTATCTTCTTTTTCGGGTCGCGGGTGTCACTGGTGCCTATATCCAACAGTCACAGTGCGAGAGGCTGGGGACACCCTGGACATGTCTCCAGTCCATCACGGGGACACACAGAGACAAACAACCATTCACCCTCTCACTCGCACCTAGAGACAATTTAGAGTTACCAATCAGTCTAACGTATGTTTTTGGTCTGAGGTAGAAAACCCACGCATGCACAGAGAGAACATGCAAACTCCACCCAGAAAGGCCCCTGGACCGGGGTTTGAACCAAGGACCTGCTCGCTGAGAGGCAGCAGCTCTACCAACTGAGCCACCATGTCACCCGTCAGTCATCTCTGTTAAGGTTAAAGAAATGTTATCCCTGATTTAAAATAAAATAATATGTGTATGAAAATCAACATAATTTGACACTTGAGGATTAAAATCAGTAGACAGCTGAGGCAGCAAACATTTATTTGAAGGTTTTCTTTTAAAAAATACATTTTGCTGATGCACATCAAATTTTACATTGAAATTGTTTATTCCTTTTCCAGCTGCCCTTAGGTCAAAAGGACCCACAGGGCCAGGCCTTTTTGATCTAAGGGCAGCTGGAGGGTTAACAGCTGAAACTAAACAGAAAGCACAATTCATAGAACAGAAGTTTTCAAATGTCATCTGCAAAATGGTGGAATGCTACACCAAGACAAGTAAGGTTTCAAGAAAAGGAAGAGAACATCAGTGCCTGTCCATCTACTTCCTTTAACACTCATCCACGCCCTCCAGCAGAACTCCCAGACTCTCCGAGGACATCTCAGAATTATGGAACTTGTGATTAACAAGATGTGTCTGCAAGATCCAGTTCTTTTGTTAAATTTCTGCCTGAAGCTTTGGGAGATATCATCCTTTATCATTTCACCATAATCTGTGCGTCACGGAAATAATTTTCATGCAACTTATCCTCTTTGGGTAAAGAGTTCAATCAACTTGTTCAGTATGCTTTCAACAAATAACTTACAGGGTCAACATTTCAATTGTTTTTAGTTATCAGACAATAATGGGTCTCTAAATAATGAGACACTTGACAATTATAGTTAAATAAAAAAACATTTTCCTTCTAGTCAGGAGACAATCTGGTAGAACGAGTCTTCTAAGGTGCAGTTAAAGTGAATCACAGTGGAGCACATGTGACAATAAATACAAGTTAATACAAATAAAAAGTCACACATCGTCCCTTGTCGGTGTGTGTTTAATATAAAGCAGCTACGTGTGTATGTGGTTCGTCAGAGTCTGCGCCGCTGTCACCTGCCGCCGTTCAGGAATGTCATCCATCCAGTTGGAGCTGCGAGTTGGACGGCCACTATCCCAGCAGAGCTGAAGGAGCCACTCAGGAACTTCCCAGGAACGCAATGATCCACGGTTGGAAGCTCCTCTGTTCCATCACCGCCTCTCGGAAGGCTCAGCTCCACGTCACCTGAAGTGGCGCCTGTCTGTGTCCAAGCACCAACAGAGGTCGATCCCTTTCTAAAACACACAGCTCGTGTTTGGCTGCTGACTGACGGAAGAGGACGATCATTTCTTCATGTTTGTGTCAGAAAAATGTCAAGCATGTTGGCATGTGCGGCTCTCAGGCGGGTGCGCTGCTCCGTGTGTTTTCCTGGCATCTAAAATATCTGCCTTCGCCAACACACTTCAGGTTGCGTTTTCATTGTTTCTTAGTTTGAAGTTCTTTAACAACAAACAAAAATCTGATCTGGATGTTGTTCCATGTCCATTTCTCCCCAAGTGATGAGAACGTTTGTCTCTATAAAGTGCTTTTGCTTCATCTCGTCTGTGTCTGAATTCATTTCAGTATCCTGAAAATGATATTGGAGACTGTGCATTTCTTAGAAATTAAAAACAAAGGCAGTTTTCTTTGAGTCCAATCAGCTCAGCTCCGCTTGCAGACCAGCAGTGCTCATTTTGTAAACCGTCCAAGACTCCTCGTTGGTCTCAGGGGTTTCTTCTGGCATTTGTGGTGGTGACGCAGAACAAAGTCAAAATTTGCAGTGGTGGACATGGCATAAAAGACGTTGGCCTTGTCTGGTATGAGCAACTCTGAAAACAAAAAAAAAGTATATAAAAGATGGTTGTTACAAATGTATTCTATTCATCTGCCGCCATTTAAGGTTTTATTTTGACAGCTTCCATTAGTTCTGACCTCTTTCCTGTGAGATGGCCTGCGTCAGAGTGAACTCCTGGCCGTTCATGTGCTCAAGGTGATGCTTGTCCAGAGCTCTCTGAATCACCTGAGCAGTTTTTTCATGGCTGGTTAACTGGAGATGACATAAACAAAAATCACATGTTCTTGAATACACCTTGAAGGAGGAAGCTTTGCTTGAAACAGTTAACTGTGTTTACATAAGGCACATACACCTCCAGGAATGGTGTTGTACCTGTGGAAGACTATCGTAACTTCAGTCTATCTTCATTTTTTTAACAGCTCTTTTGTTTCTTATCAAATTCTGATCTTTAAAAGACTTTTCAGCACTGGTTAGCATCTGTCCATCCATTATCTTTACCCGCTTCTTCCCGTCCAGGTGGCCACCAGTGCACATATCCAGCAGTGGTTTGGATGCTGTCTTCTTTTTAAAATATTTTATAGCCTTTTACTATTATGACACTTTTTAACTTTCCTGCTTGCTCTCAACCAAGGAGGACGCTTCCCCTCCTGCTCCCCTCCTGCTTTGCTCTTTGTCCTGTGAACCCTATCAGAACCTCTCTTTGCATATCTTCCGAATTCCGTATGGCATGTGAACAAGAAGCTCTGCTCCCCGCCCCCCTACCCGCTCCCTTACTGCCTTCGTCGGCCTCATGCATAAATGTATTATGATGTCATCAGTATGTTGCTGTTTCTGTGCTGAGATTATCTTTTGCAACTCTCACACTGTGTCCCGTCTAAGACACAGTGTGAAATATGATTTTTTTTTTAATACCTCCTCTTCCTTCGTGTTTTTCTTTTTTTCTTATCTAAATGACAAGGGCAGCACCTCCCGAAGGCCGCGGCCTCAGACACCTCCGTCTCCCTATGTCTGTTTGTTTATGTTTTCTCAGACGGGCTGTACTGAATTGTAATTTCGTTGTGCTTCGGTGCAATGACAATAAAGCTGATTCTGATTCTTCATACAAATGAGGGGTATTCATTTGCAAAAATGTATGACTGATCTTTCCAAAGCCCAAGTAACATTTATTCAGTTCAATTCAGTTTATTTATATACCGCCAAGTCACAACAGAAATCATCTCAAGGCACTGAACAGACGTCTGGAGTGACATCCTTATATTTCAGATGAGTTGAAGAAGAGATATCATGGGTGTAGCACAAACTAAGGACAAAGGTCTGATGTTGATCATAAAGATGGAAACATCACTTGCAAATAAAATAGACTTGTCTGGGCGCAGTGAAGAATGCAGTGTAATTCCAGGGACACAACATTATGTATTTCAAAGTGACTTCAACACCTGGTTTTCAGATTAAATATTAAAGCAGAGAGAGATCTTTTTCACAAAATGATTTTCAGATAAACTTGCAAAGATGACTTTGATTTAGCTCCTGCTAGCATGACAGAGCCATATGAAATGTGGAGTATCCCTTTAAATCAAACATTTTCTATTAAATCCCACAGCTGGCTCATCACACTGTCGAGCTGTGATGCTGGCTGCTTACTCTTAAACATGCTGCCTGATTCAAGTACGCTTCAAGTATGACCGTGACACGCTTTTAGAGTTGCGATCGTCAGTGAGTAAGGACTTTAAGCAAGCTTTTGGGGACATTTTCCCCTGGGCCCTTTGTTTATATGGGTGCCATAAGAAGAAAACAAGGAGAGGGAAGTGAGCCGCTGTTTGATGCAGGACCCACCAGAGACGCAGCAAACCCACTCTCGCCTCAATCCTGCTTGCAAACATTCAGTCTCTGAGGAATAGACTGGATGACCTGCATGCACAGATTTAATGTGAGCGAGACACGAGGACCTGTTGTGTTCTTGCCTTTATGGAATCATAACAGGAGCCGTCCATCACCGACTGTTCTGTGACTCCGGACAACGCTATATTTCTTTTGAACCTTGTAAATATAGTATTATATTTCTTTTCACTTTTGGTACCTTATTTTGTACTTTTATTGCATGCTTTAGTATTTCTTGGGGATTTTTTGAGTTGAAACGGTTCTTCTCATCCTAAACATTTCATTGCATTGTTGACCTTTTGTTAACCTGCATAAGACAAATAGACAATAAACTGATCCAGCTCTGTGACTATACCTCCCGGGCTGACTCAGATGTGTAACAGTAGCAGATTGACATCAACCCTCCATGCTTTCTTGACTTTAAATCACAGTGTACCTGGCATAAAAGTGTTTAGTTAAAAGGACTGCATATGACGCAGCAAGAGGAACAGATGCTAACAGCAAAACGTTTGGTAAAACACTTTCTGTTAACAAGTTGTGTGATGTTGAACTACTGTGAAGGACTGTCTTTGCAACCTGGACAATGAATAAGTTAATGAGATTTTTCCCGTCCTTTTTCCCAACTCTTCCATGTTCAGTCAACCCTTCATTCAGAACAAAGTTTGAGTTTTCAACCTAAAGCACAAACTCACCAGGATGCTTTTATACATGTTGCCGTTGTTGTGCCCCAGGTCCACGCTGACCCTGATGATGCAGGAGTCAGCCCCTTGACGGTTATACACAGGCAGGGAGGTCATGGAAATGGAGCGTTTGTGCTGGGAGGCCAGAGAAGGGTGCGGGCGCGAGCCTCCATCAGCCGAGGCTGCAGAGCAGAGGTCTGTGCTGCAGTCAGAGGAGGAACTGCAGGGAGATGGAGACTCCGAAGAAGAAACCGCTGAGGGACACGGGGAGGATGAGGGTGATGAGAAGGTCTCAGATACATTGCTACAAGAACTGTGGAAACTCTGCAGAGGAGAAATAGAGGGGAAATTTTTGAAATACAATATTCTTAAGTGTCATAAGTAATAATAGCACTTGTAGCACTTTTGAAGTGAGAACTGAGAATTAAGAAACCCTTCTGTAAAGACATCCTGAAGAACATTTTTAGAAGCCTGTCAGCTTTAATAGTCCTGAAAAAGAACTTTATGTGAGTAACAATCATGTTAGTATGACAATCTTTAAAGTAATTTCCTCCTCACTCGTTAGAAATACTCAAGTGGTTAGTTCAGCTGCGACTGTTTGTGGAGCCCAAACAAAGAAAGCTTTTCTGAGCACAGAAAGCCGTTTGGTGAAAGCGCAGCTTGACAAAGCTTTCAACAAAACCGCCACTGTTCGCACAAGTGACAACAAAAGGATGGATAGAAGTCAAAGATATGAGACAATGGGGGCTGATACCAGCATGCACACACAGCTGGTTACCTGTGGTCGTGTGGAACGGGACAGATTTGGAGAAGACAGATCCTCCATCTCAGAACAGCTGGATCCGGAAGACGAAAGGCTGATCTGATCAGCAGGAAGCTTCTTTGAACCATCGCTTGGCGAAAGCAAACTGAGAACGGAGAACATGATATGACAACAATGCTGGAATAAACTCGCACTATAAAAACAAGTACTTCATGTTAAAATGGTCATTTCAGTGGTTCCCAACTGTGGTCCTTGAGGAACACCATCCTGCATGTTTTAGTTGTTTCCCTGCTTTAACACACCTGATTTGAAGGAATGGGTGATTCTTCTGCAGAACTTGAGGAAGCGCGGTAATCAAATTACTGAATCAGGTGTGTTGGCGCAGGGAAACAACTAAATGGTGTTCCTCAAGGATCAGTGTTGGGAACCATTGCCTTCAAGGATTCCTTTGAACATGTCCACCACCTTTTGTGCCAGTGGTTTTAAACAAAGATCATCTAATGTTGAGAAAATATGGTGTTGTTGTGGTTCTGGTGTGGAAACCAGAAAAATAACATTACGAGCAATGTCCTGATTCATGATCAATAATCCAGGTAGAAAAATCTAACAAGGTTTAAGTCAAGTCCTCTGGAGGGATTCTTCTTTTTGAAACATTTCATCTGCCAAAGTCCTTTTTGTTCGATTACCAGTAATTTTGTGCAATATTTAGAAATGTCAAGCACAAAATTTACGTTGGAAATGACTCTCATCTACTACCACACCTAAATTTAGCCCAGTATTGTAACATTGACTGAGACATATCCATATTTTGTGTTGAGCATTGTTTATTAGCTGTGGAGGCCATCTTGAATTGAAATGACCCAAACATTATTAGCTGTAGATGAATGAATGTCCTATGATTTATTTCTGAATGTTTCATGAAAATCTGTCTACATGTTCACGAGAAATCTCAGAAACAAACAAACGGGTGAATTTAAAACCAAATGTTAAAGATTTAAGCAATAATCTGGTGCAATAAGTGTCACTTGGCGTATTTGTTGTGAACGAGTCTTACATACAATGACACCAAATTTTAGCTCAATATCTGTAAAAGACTGTGTTATCACCATTTTGGGGTTTTCAAAAGTTTGTTACTTGTGGCAGCCATTTTGAATTGGCTCAGAAAGTTGTTCAGTTGAAAACGTACACCCATTGAACACTTCCTGAACGTTTTATTAAAATCTGCCCAGGGACTCATGAGATATTTTCCTAACAGACAGAGTCAACTGAAAACTTAAAACAAAGATTTTGCTCAATTTTTGAGTGCTCAGATTATCAGCGGGGATGACTCTCAGCTACTACCACACCAAATATTAAGTCAAGATATGTAAAGGTAGCTGAGTTATAGCCAAATCAGATTTTGTTTTTAATGTTAGTTAGCTGTGGAAGCCATCTTGAATCAGAATGACTTTAAGTTTCAGAAAAATTGTAGAGGGTTATAAAATATTTTGCTAACAGACAGACACGGATGAAAAAAAAGGAAGAAAAAAACTCTAAAACATTAAAAATTTTTTAAAGCCCAAAATAAAGCAAAGCAAACCCTGCTTGTACCAGATGTGTCTTTGTCATAATGGGGTATGTGCAGGATTATAAATATAAATATAAATCACGCACATGTGTTTGAATGCATACTGAGTTGTGGAGCCTGTTACTCACAAGGAGAGTTTCTTTGTAAGAGAGCGGTTGTTCCAGGACGTCGAAGAACATGTGTCGTTCGGAGGCTCGAGTCGTCTGGACAGTTCATAACTTCAACAAAACACAAAAGTACTTCAGTACACATTTACAAGGTGCAAGATGAGCAGAAAAACAAAAACTGGTTCAATTAAATATATTTCCTTCAGTAAACAATTAACCAAGCAATATATTTGAATTGCTCTTTAGGATAGAAGTTGCAGTAATGCAGCATAGGCGTAGCAACAATTATATGTGAAGAGGATGTGTCACCCCCAAATTAAAAAAAAATAATAATTTGGGGGCGTTAGGATGCGTGAGAGAAGTGGAGTGTGCTCTATTCACACAAGGAGAGATGTTGGTCAGGCTATTTCTAAAATACTTATTGAATCAAGTGTTTACTCATGTAGGTAAACGTAGATGTTTAACAACCTGTTCAAATACACCAGAATGCAGGAAATGGCATGTACTTTATTCAAAGTTTTCTCGGTGAGGACCCCCACCCCACACACGCACACACACATTACAATTACTTCTGAGCCAGTGTAACGCAGTGTTCAGTTACAACAGCCAATGTTTATGTAACAACAGTGCGTTCTCAGCATGTGATTCTGTCATGTGTTACGGCAGAAGTGGGCAACATATGGCCTGAGGGTTAAAAGTGGCCCTTGGACAATTTCCATCTGGCCTCCAATAATTTTAGTTGAAAAGGAAACAACTTTTAAATAGGTTCATGAAAACCAGCAATTCATCAACAATACTATCTAAGTTCAAGTTAAGCATCTTGTACAAGTACATCGAAAACGTTTGGAATAAGTTATGCTAAAGCTCCTTTTAAAGTTATTAGACTGAATCTTAGACTCCATAAAGCAAACATTTCACTTTCTTTTCGCATAATTAGGGTAGCAAATATATTGTCACAAGAGCCAGTTTACAGGAAGTATGACTTATAATCCTAAAGAGTATTGGGGAAACATACTTTTCTTAAGCATGCTAACTATGCTACAACAAGATAAAGCTGGAAAAATGCCTTCCAAAATGTGGAAAGGTAAAATTATTTCCCAATTCTCTATGTGCCTAATCGATTGCTTTAAATAATTTTATTTGGCTCTCTGATTAAAAAAATAATAATGTTGCCTACATCTGTGTTAAAGG